TTATGCAAATTTCAACCAAAGACAGGGATAAATTCACCTAGTCAAGCCTGAGTAACTCGGATGATTATGTTTATGAAATGCTAATTAAATTGTACAACAATTTGTTAATATAGATTACTATTCACCAAAAATAAAATATTCATAAGTTTATTATTTATTATTTGATATTATCTATGAACTATGGAAGCAATGAAGTTTACGAGAGATTGAACTATGCAAGCACATTGTAAGGAATGCAGTGTTTGGTTTTCAAATTAACCCTATGTATTAAAATGGAAGTTTAATATACTTATATATTTTTTATTATAAATTTTTATATGGTATTATCTCTTAAATAAATGTTTCAAAAAATAAACAAGCATCAGAAACAACAAATCCACGTTAATATTATTTGGAAAATAATTATTTATTTGTTAGCACTTTTGAAAATTTTAAAACATATTGTTATTATTATTATTTTGAAAAATTCAAAAATTTAAAAAAGGTAATAATTATTTTTTGTAAAGAAAAGTAAAAAAACACATAAAAGATTTCTCTTTGAAAAAAAAAATCTGAAAGTAAAAATGAAATATTTTTTATTTTTAATAGTTTATTAAAAATTACATAGAGGAAATAATTTTTATAAGTTTAAAAATTATGAGCATAAAAAGTGTAACCTATTTTTTCAAAAATTCTAAATATATTTTTTATTTCATGGATTTTCTAATATTTTATAATTTCTTAAAAAGAAAAATTATTCCTATTTTTATTGTTCTAGAATTTTTAAAACAATTAAAAATTATTTTTGGGTTTTCCAAAAAAAAATTAGAATTTCTAAAAATAAAATTTTTTTATGTTTTTGAAAATTTTATAGAATTTTTTTAAAAAATTAAAATTTTTTGTATTTTTTAATTTTTAAAATGATAAGATTTAAAATTTGGAATTTTATTGATTGATTTTTCTGTTTTCTTATATGAACTGTTAATGTTTTACTTGATTATATTTATTACTAAAATATGTAAATTCATAAAAAATTATTATATTGAATGGTTGATCTACCGTACAAGACTTTTTTTTCCTACTTGACAAAATTTGAAAATATCAAATAAAAAAAGTAAGTTATATTAAAAAGGGATTTTCGGTATAGTTTTTCTAATTAAGAACGGGTAAAAATATCAAATCAAGTTTGATAATATTATAGGGCAAGTTGCAATATGAGATTGTATTGATTTTTCAATACAATCATTAGTTGAAATATAATTGCATTACAATTTTATATTAAGTTAATTTATTTTAAAATAAATATAATATATATTAATTGAACATATTATAAAAAATATAAAAAAATAATCTTCATATCAAATGCTATTTACGTTGTTGATGTTACTCGAAGATTGATTTGTGAATTTTTTATCCAACCTAGTATTCAAAACAAAATTAGCATCCTTAAGAGTAGTAGGCTCGTTTGCATTGCCCGGCGGATTGAATTCCATTATCCTTTTTTTTTCTTTTTTAACAATAAAGGAATGTCAGCATCAATTTCCAATTAAGTAAAGCAAATAATTGTCACCTTCCGATGGTGAAAGCCAAAATGCAAAATCACTCCACGTCACAGATATATATTCCACGGCTGAGAGATTGGATTAAAAGTACCTAATCCGATCTCTCAAACGCCACTAGAGTTGACCAGTGTCGCCGCCGATTAATTAATTAGATATTAGGTGCGAGAGTGTTAAAACGTATTTCTTTAATCATCAAATCTAATTGACACTTGGTATATCCTAATTTTGATCTTTATCAACATCCGATCATTTAATTTATTAATTAATAAATAATTTTTTATTTAAAAAATTAAATTTAAATCCTCTTCTTTCAATTAAAATAAAAATTTTTGATGTCTATCCTTTCACTCACCGGGATGCATCACCAACCGCTGGACATGGTTTCCCATCCTCCCTACTAATTAAAGCCGCCGGCCGTACGGAACCATGCAACAAAAATTGTATTTTAATCTCCCTTGTAGCACTTTCGATTATCATCTCTTGGTTAATTGGTTTTTAGGTAAAATTAAACTAAATAGTCAAAAGCAAAACTATTTCTTGGATGTCAATCCCAATAAAAAGTAATTGAATAAAACAATCAGGTTGCCTCATTAAGTTATTTCTTGTTTATATAATTATTAATCACTAAAGAATTCCCCCACAGCCTATATATTTCCATGTGCCCAAGTTGGCTGCTGCATCTCTTTTGCTTCAACGCTAATCCTTGTTATTTCTAATGTTTTCTTGACTCTTATCTTAAACTAATGCTGTCTAATAAACGATATTGGAATAGCTGAGAAAACGTCAAGCAGAAAGATTCAATTTACAAGACAAATGAAAATGATGTTTCAACTCAGAAATCAGAATGGCTCATCTTTTATCTTGAAATTGCCATTGTTTGATTGATGAATGCTTGCATCATTACGTTTTTCCTTGACTAATGGAATATAGGTGCTGCAGAAGGTTCCATCAGGAGAAAAAATAAATAAATAAAAATACCTAAAATGATGTGACTTTACTTCTACCGTTGTTTAAAATATATCTTTGTACACATAAAATAAATAATGTTACATCAATAGCAAACTATATAATTTTGACAACTTGATTTTTATTAACAAATTAAATAAACAACTAAAGATGATGACAAATATTATATCAAAACAGTCAAACTTAGGGATCAAAACATTATTGAAGTAAAACTTTGAATTAAATTACGCAATTTCACTTTAATTGGCTTCTTTCAACCGCCATCTCAAATCTCAGGGCCATCTACATCTTCATCAAAGCAGCAAAAGTATCCTCAGGGATCAAAACGTTATTGAATTAAAACTTTGGAATAAATTATGCATTTGTAGCTCTTTCTAGAATTTTTAAATCATACAAGTATTAGTTTTAATTTTTTTTAATTTAAACTTGCATGTGCCTTCACAAATGGAAAACAAAACAGTTAGTTTTTAACAAATATCATGAAAATAACATGTGTTTATTTTGTTTTTTTTAATGATTTATGATTTTTTTATATCTTACAATGCAATCACATTAAAATGACGTTTGGTATTTTACTAAGAATATGAACGCTAAATATGTAATTATTGAGAATGTAATTATTAGAAATATAACATATAGTATTTCGTATACATGATAAAATGGTTATTGTAAGGAATATAATTGTTGGATACTTTACTAAAAATATAATATTAATTTACAAATTACTCTTATATAAAAAAAATTAACAATCAATATATTATTTTTAAAAAAAACCATTGTGGATTTTGATTGCTTGAAATCATTCTTGCAAAAAAAAAAAAAAAGAAAGAGGACAAGAATTTGTTAGGAATCTATCATGTATGGATGAAGTTACTCAAAACCTAATGGTTTGCATTGCTAAAATGGGTTTTCCATTTCATCAATTATGCTCTCTCGAAGTTGCATTTATTTTTTTTTGAAAAATTAAACTTTAAATTAAAGAAAAAGAGGGAACAATCATTCACTCTTAGTTCATTATATGAAGAGTTTGTTTTGCTATACCTTAATCTAGTAAAACATTCCAAAATCTTTGTCCAAATGGTAATCAACCAATCTATACATAAGAATCAAATTTCCCTTGCTGTTTTGGGTATCTCAGACTTACTCATCAACCAGGAAAAAAAAAAAACTAGAAACACACAATAAAACAAAAAAAACTCAACCGGCTCAACAATGAAGGATTTACAACAAATAAATTAAGAGTTGGAAAACAAAAGGAAACAGGGGAAATAATTTGTAATGAAAGATCAATGATGAAGGGATTCCCATTAAGCATCAATTACAACCCAGATTAAAATGAAACCAAATAAGCTAGAGTGAGCGGCTAGGATTCCTACTAGTGGCAACCAGAAGAAGAAGAAGAATAGAAAATAGAAGAAAGGCTTGGCCGCGGTAAGATGGTTTGGGAAAAAAATGTGACTTTTATTTTGCAAAAGGGAAGTTACGTTCCCTCCGTAATGAAGGGAATGACATTCTTTTTGCTTATTGTAATCATATTAAATCCATTTGTAAAAAGAAAGTTACTTTTTTTCTATAATTGGAGATTACATTAGCTTCAATATAATCACATTACATTCATTAACTATAATGTGATTGTATTATAATTATAAATTATTTTAATCTTCAAAATATATGTTAAAATATAATATAATTAGACACATTGTTAAAAATATGAGTACGTATCTCTCGTGCCAAACTTTACTAAGTAGTGTTTGGAATGAAGAAAGTAGGAGCGTATCCTCCACAATGTATCTAATTAATTTATATTTTAGAGTTTGTTTTGTATTGCAATGTAAAATTATAATACGATCATATTATAGTTAATGCATATAATGTAATTGCGGTTTAAAACCAATGTAATTAGATTGCATTGTACTTTACAATGTTATTAAAGACATTTTTATACTTTTATTTTATTACTTTGTTAAAAATATTTTACAATGTTATAACTTTTTTTTATAGATTTCGAAGGATGTATTTTTATTATTCGTAGTAGTCACGATGACTATCAATAAAATCAAATTTTTTTAAAAATTAAATTAAAATATATAATATAAAAAAATTATATTAAAAAATAAAAATAAAAAATTATAATAAAAAATAAAAATAAAATATATGATATTAAAAATATATTTAAGAGATGATATTATATAAAAATTAATAATAAAAAAATATAAATATATTAAATTTATATTTTAATAAATAAAAAAATTTTAAAAATTAATATTACATTCTTAATAAAGTAATTATAAATTAAATACTTTGATGTTATATCTTTTATATTTTAATTATTAATTTATTTATATATTAAATATTATAATATTATTTTTTTATAATTATATTATATTATAAAATACTGAACATTTTAATAAATGTGTGGAATGCTTTGCTTTAAACAGAGGAGATTCCTTGCATTAAAAATTAGCTGTAATGCGCTAATAGTTAAACTTTTAAATGGCACTTTCGTCATTAAATGCAAAGGAAAGGGCATTTACCAAATTCTTGGACTGCCATCCTCAAGTTACTACTATATAAGCCTCAAACCGCAAATTCTCCGCTCCAAACACCCAAAAAAAAAACCGCTTCTTTCAAAACAAAAGAACGTTAACACCATGGTCGGTTCCTGTACTTCGCCACCACCAGCGGCACTCTGCTCCCCCTACATCACCATCGTTGGTCAGAACACCACAGCAACAATCTCCACCCTCCATCCAGACATCATAGAGACCCACATATTGACCCGACTTGACGGCCCAACTCTCGCATCCGCCTCCTGCGCCTCCACTGACCTCCGTGCACTCACGTCACAGGAAAACCTCTGGACCAACATTTGTCACTCCATGTGGCCTTCCACTACCTATCCACGTGTTCGCCACGTCATCTCTCACTTCCCCAACGGTTCCCGCTCCTTTTTCTCAGACGCCTTCCCATTAGACACTGAACCCGCGTGTTTCGGAAACCCGTCGGAAACGTCTGACCTTCCATCAGAATTAATCTCAGCCGTTGATATTTATTACAAGAAAGAACTGATTTTTAGCAAAGTCGTCGAAACCGAAACGGTAACCGCTTGGTTCAAATGCTCACCGTTTCGGGTCGATTTATTGGATCCTAAAGAAGCAGTTTCGACCCGGATACCACACCCGGATACGGAGGACACTTGTCGAGATCTGGAGGAAGACATGGAGTTGAGCTGGATCTTGATCGACCCGATAGGAAAACGGGCGATGAATATCTCGAGTCAAAGACCGGTGGCAGTACACCGGCACTGGCTGAGCGGGGAGTTGCAGGTGAAGTTCGCGGCTGTGGTGGCCGGTGGGGAGAGTGAGACGGCGACTGAGTTGGTGCAGTGCGGCGTGGTGGTTACGTGCGGGGTGTCGGCGAGAGGGGAAATGCACTTGACGGAGGTGAGTTTGCAGGTGGAGGACATGGATGGGATGTTTTTGAATGGGAGGGACAGCTCGGTAATTTTGAAGAAGGGCTTGGACGGTGAAAGAGGAAAAGGAAAAAGGAGGGAAGCGGAAAGGAAGAAGGGATTTCTAAAGTTTTCGGAAAGGAAAAGAGCAAGGAAAGAAGAGAAGTTGAGAAGGGAAGGGACACTGGATTTGCTTTGCCTTACCATCGGGGGTTTGGCGTTTTGTTCCTTGGGATTATTTCTTCTGTTGAGATGAAAAAGAACAAATTCAAAAAAATTAATTCAATTAAGAAAAGCATAGAGAGAGGAGAAATTATTAACATATAATAATTTCGACAACAACTAGGTTGTATTGTGTTAAGAATTATAGTCGGTAATCTTTCTTTATGTTAATTATGAAATGCACTACCTATACCTTCTTCAAAGGCTCGTTCAGTCAGGATGGGTGCAAAGCAACGCATATGTCATCTTAATTTAAGGAATTGAATAGCTTATTTACTTGTAAACTTTATTCGACAAGAAAAACACTAAAGCAAGGACAGGGTTTACATTTTCTTTTTCCATTTTTCATTCGTATCGTGTAATATTTCCTGTAATTCTACAGAAAAAACACAAAGAAAGAAAGAGGATACAATTACCAATCATCAAGCATCCAGGATTTTAAGATTTTCTTTTTTGTGGGTTTTATTGATTTTGCTAACAAGTGCCACTAGACTCTATTATAAGGTTTAATTAATGTACCATTTATAATAAAATAAGATTCCATTAGCTAGATGGCAAAGGCAAAAGATGCCACTTAAGATAGTCATTTAATACATTAATCATATATATATATATATATATATTGTGCGCTGGCAAAAGGACAGCAATGAAGATGTTCGTTACTTTTCATTATAGATTGATATATATATATATATATGTATTTAAAAAAATTTACGATTTGCTCATATTATTTTTCTTTTTTTAATTAAATTCCCATCTACCCGTCTATTCAATTTAAGGCCATTAACATTTTAATCATAAATTAATTTTATTATGTATTAATCGTTTTGAGATGAAACAGTGAATATTTCCATTACCTTTTAGTAGCGAAGAAGAGAGTTTTTAATCTCAGACTTTATTTTTTAGAGTGAAAACTAAAGAGTTGTCCCTGACGATGTAGTAGATAGAAAAGAGTGGAAAGTTCAAGCTTATGTCGTTAATTAGAGTACCATATTGACTTCATATTGGCTCTTCTTCTTAAAAAGAGATTGAGTCTTAATTGGACCATCTCAATCTCGTTAAAGAATATAATCTTTAATGGAATAATAAGATTTATCTTATCTGAGTGGGAGACATTATCCTTTCCCATAATAAACTTTTTGACACATTCTTTTTTTGAAAACTTAGAAGAATAATTTTTCGAAGGTGATAAGATTTCATTTGGTTAGAATGAAAGAAAATCTTACAAAAATGAATAATATATAAAGTGAATCCTATTCATAGTTTAACTTTATTTAAGTATTGTAATTTAATTAGGTAATAGTATTATATTATAACTTTAACTAAATAATTTATATATTATCTTAATATTGTTTGCAACTTTGGATAGTGAAAATATGAGGTGAGATAGTGCACCAATTGGATAAAATCCAAAAAGTGCCTTCAAAACACTTCAAAAGAATACTTTAGTCCTCTTATTTTAAAATAATGTTTTTGATCCCTATTAATACTATTAGTCAATAATTAAAAAAATTAGAGCTAATACTGCATACATATTTTAAAATATAAATACCTTTTATATATTTTTTTAATTTAAGAATATTCTTTTTTTTAAAAAAAAACTATTTATTGTTCCTTTTAAACCTTAATAAAAACAAGTATAAAAAATTTTGATTTAAAGGCCTAAAAATTTGAACCTGTATCTACTTTAAAAACCATAAACTTCTTTCTTGATGTAAAGTCTATATTTATCATACTCTTTTTTTTTTCAACAGTTTAAGAAATTTTTCTTGATTGAAAAGAATGTATTAAAAAGTAAATTTTTTGTTCAATGATGAATATTTCAAATTTGAAGGTGTCAGATCAAGAGATTAATTTCTTAAATAATGAATATACATTCAATTCTTCTTTCACTCAATTTTCTTTTTTTTTTTTTGCTTTGAAACTTTTACTATGGTTCGACATTCCAAAACTCTTGAATAATAAAGGTTTAATTTTCCTCTTTTCCATAGCTTATTCGGAATAGTTTTACTCCTTTTATTTGAGATTCTATTTAATATATGGCAAACCGTTAATAAGGCTTTGCCCAAAATCCTTTTCTCAAACTTTAATTAAAAAGCAAAGTATTGACCACTTTCATAAGAACTCGAATCTTACGTTTCGTTACACCATTTTGTTTTGGTGCATACAGGGATGGAAGGATAGGGGTGGCGACTGCCATCATTAGTTTTTAATTTTTTTTATTATCATACTGTAAAAGGAGAAAAATTATAAGTCAATTACGTGTCGTCACTTGGACTTGATAATGTTATAAGCATGTAATTAATTATAAAATAATTAATATATTGGTTGGATTATTTCAAAGACATATAATTGAAACAATTCACTTATGTGTCATATATTTATCTCTTGAGATAATTTGAAGATAATATTTAAATTAGACCAACCAAAATTTAATTATTGATCATCCAATTCATCTCTAAATAAATTAAGGTAATTTAGAAATAATATTCATATTTTTGACCAATAAAAATTTAATTATTGATCATTTAATTTATCTCTAATAATTATATTAATTTAGAGATAAAAATCAAATTGGATTATTTTTTATCTCTAAATAAATTAAGATAATTTAGAGACAATACCTAACTTCGGCCAACAAAAATTTAAGGACTCAAAGTTCGGTCAAACAAAATACTTTTAATGAATCATCATAATTTATCTATAAATAAATTAAAATAATTTAGAGACAATTCAAAGAGACTACATTCTCATCAAAGTCTCCCACCTAGCATTATAAATAGATGGCTCCTCTAAGCAATTTTGATTCATTCATAAGCATTCGAAGATTGGGGGGTATTCGAAGATTAAGAGTATTTCAGAGATCAAGAAGAGTAGAAGATTTTTAAAGTAAAGATTAAGCAACAGTGAGGTTCACGATCAAGATCAAGTGGCAACGAAGCTCATAATCAAGATCATGCGGCAATGATGTTTGTGATCAAGATCAAACGGCAATGAAGTTCGTGATCAAGATACCAAGTGTTCGTGATCAAGATCAAGTCGTAAAGACCATTGAAGCGAAGATATCAAGCATTCGTGATCAAGATTAAGTCGTGAACCCTTAAAGCAAAGATTAAGCAAAGTTCATGATCAAGACTAAGTCCGAGTTCATAACTCTTGAAGACGACGTGAAGAAATTAATCAAAAAAATTTTCAGAGATTATCACTTTTATTATCAAATATTTGTATTTGTCTCATAATTTTCAACTTAAGAAATTTCGACGAGAAATTTGTGTGTACACATACATATAAAATTTAAGATATGTTTGTTTGCCAGCCCTAATAATTAAATCAAATAACTATTTTTTGAATAGTCATAAATTTTTTAGCAAAACCATTAATTGGTTTCGGTTCAATTCCTCTTGAGCTCAAATTTTAGAATTTTTTTCCTTTTTTACCTTTCCTTTTTGGCTGGCTAGAATTTTTTTTCTTTTATCCACTGTTTTTCTTTTTTAAATCTTTTGGAGGCTTCCCATTCATTAAATTGGAAAAACCTTTTCTTTATTTCTTTTTGAATCAATCAAATAATTATCATTTATGTAATCAAAAAAACCTTTCATCAAATCAAAAAAATCATTTCTCTCTCTCTCTCTCTTTTTATAAATCAATCAAACAATTATCATTCATGAAATTAGAAAAACCCTTCATCAAATTGAAAAATCATTCCTCTTTTTTTTTTTGTGAATCAATCAAACAATTATCATTCATCAAATTAAAAAATCCCTTTCTCCTATTCTTTGTTTTTCATGAATCATTCAAATAGTTTTTTACTCTTTTTTCTCTCCAAACCAAATATCTATTAATATGTATTGGAGTATTTAACCCTTTCTCTTATTCTATTTTTTATGAATCAATCAAAACAATTATCATTCATCAAATTAGAGAAACCTTTTCTTCCGAACAATTTTTTTTCTCTTTTTTTCTCTCCAAACCAAATGACTATTAATATGTATTGGAGGATTTGGCTTTAGCATGTATTTTCCTGAATAATTGGATAGACTAGAGTTTGAACACTTAACATAATTTTACTAGAATATTTTGTAATATTGTATATAATCTACTATGGTTCTATGTCAAAAATACAACGCTTAATAGCTTACAATAATTAATATGAAAATCTAATGTTAATTTTTTTTTTGCTTTATATCTATTTATATTAGTGAATCTGAAAACTTATATTTAAAATTTTAATGAAATTTTATATTATAATTTAATTTTATTTCAAAAGTGATAAATTTTTGCTCTGAATCAAATCATTGTCTTAATCCATGACCTTGTATGATTATCCTTTAACCACCTTTCATGCAAAATCCTAGATTCACCATTGAGCGCGTATGGAGTAGTAATCTCATGAATAATACCAGTGGATTTGAAATATTTAGGACCATAATATTCACCTCATGTATGACTTTGTAAACATTTGACAAGCAATTCACAATGCAAGTCAATTTAATTTTTATAGATTCAAAACTTCTTCATTACTTCCATCTTCAACATGCAATAACTAAACATAGTAATATCTAGAGAAATCACTTATAAATGTTACGAAATATTTCTTTCCACCAATAGATGGAGTACTATGCATGTCATAAACATAAAAATATATTAATGCAAACAATTTAGAGTTTCTTTCTACCTTAGGAAATAAGCTTTTTGTGATTTTAATAACCATCACTACTAGAGAGCAAGGTTTTTTTGACGGAATACAATTCGTTAGCAAATACTAACAGAAAGGACTTGTGAATATTACTGACGGATTACAGACCTAACACAAACGAAATTTACTAACAGAATTATTTTAGTCAGTAATAACTTTAGTGCCAAAATAAGTTAAAAGGCACTAAAATTACTAACTGAATTTAGTGGTTGGTAACTTCACACCAATGGCATTTATCGATGAAATTTATCAATAGAATTTCAGTTAGCATGAATATCAATTTAGTTACAGAATTACTGACGAAATTTTTGTTGGTATTAGCAATGGTCTTTTTCAAGTGTTTATCGATGAAATTGTTGATGAAAATTCTGTCAAAAATAAAAATTAATATTACCAACAGAATTTTCATTAGTAAACATAAATAATATGTTTATGCTTAGTTTGCCTCATCCATGCCTTTGGTGCCAACTCGTCGTTACCCATTGCCGTTTCAACCCTTTCCCATGCAAATCTTTACCATCGAGCCTCTCTTGTGTTGTCGATCCCATGCCATGAGCCTCTTCTGTGCCATGAAGCTTTTCCTTTCTTGTCTCAAGCCGTGCCCTACGGAGGTTGTCCCATCCTAAGCCTTACCTTGCCTTGTGAAGGTTATCTCATGCTAAGCCATACAATCAAGCCTTTCTTTTCCTGTCCCGAGTTATGCCATGGAAGAGTT